ATCAGAGCTTTTCCATTCTTTCCTTATTCACTGGGGCAGGAGGTGGGAGGAAGGTGTGACTACTTGTATTACAACCCACCGAACAAAGAGTCAAATTAAAAAGGTTTTTTACAGAATTACTTTATGTGTCAAAATTATAAAGTTCAGAGAACAGATAGAATAATAACTAATGTTGGAAGAGGGCTTTGTGGTCGGGAGGTACAGTTTTTTCATGTTGGAGTGGAGAAATGTTAAGCTGCATTAATTGTTTTGCAGTTGTCTCCTGCCTGCCAGTCCTCAATCCTTTCACAGGATAACCTGAAGACATCAGTGTCTTGTCACACTCTCTGGTGTCTAAAAGGTTGGCACTGATTTTGCACAATTGAGCGCTGAGACCCTAGAATCTGATAGTCTACAAAAACGAGAAATGAAGTTGGAGATACCCTACGGTACCACCTCTGATTGCTTCCTCCTACCACAGGGAGAATTAGTAGCATATATTAAACAGGGCAATTGATAGGAGCAGTGGAAATAAGAAACGTGACATAGTTACTGCTCTTTTGGAGCTGATGGTACAGTATTATGTGACATCATCAGAGGGAGCTCCTTTTGGAACATGCATTGAATTGGGTATTAGTTGTAGTTCTGTCTCTTCCAATGAATTTCTTCCACTGATTCTAGTTAGGACTTAGAAAAGATTGTCTAACTCCTGTGCCTCAGTTTTCTTCTCCATAAAATGAGTAGATTGAGTCTGGAATTCCTCTTATCTGTACATTCTGTGAGTCATAGTCTCATGATACTTTTAAAATTTTAATCATCCTGCTTTTGATCCCTACTACTCCTTTTATTTCAAGATATCCTTGGCTAAGCTATAAATGCAAATTAGAGTATATGTTGATGTGATAGGCAACTTAACAACTCATAGACCCATAGACTAGAGAGACATTTCTTTCATTTTTAAGGCAAAACTACATCTTAGCTTATATAAAATAACTTGGATTATTATATATCCCAGTAGGTCTGCCTAAAATGGAATATTACTGCTTTTGAAAATTCAAAGACTAGTCAGGCATGGTAGTGCATGCCTATAATCCCAGTAGCTTCAGAGGCTAAGGCAGGAGAATTGCAAGTTCAAAGCCAGCCTCAGCAATTTTGCAAGGCCCTAAGCAACTTAGTGAGACCCTATCTCAAAATAAAATATAAAAGGGACTGGGGATGTGGCTCAGTGGTTGGGCTCCCCTGGGTTCAATCCCTGGTACCAAGAAGGAAAGGAAGAAAAAAAGCAAAAGAAAATTCAAGGACGAAGAAAATAAATTAGAAGATGATTATTATAAAAGAACCTCTGATTCTACAAAGGAATTTAGCTGCCGAATTGCTGTTTGTTTGTTTGTTTTTTTAATTGTGAGTTTCTCTAGTGTGTTTAAAATGTGATGTGACTTCCAGATAGATGTTTGGTGTATATAAACCAGAGATACGCAGTTCCGTACATTTATAGTCCATAATTCTCTGCGGCAGTGCTGCGTGTGTGCACAACAAATGTACTTTCTGTTAGCTAATTGGAGAGATTTTCTGTGGTTTGAGAGTTTTTTTGTCACCTGTTGGAATTTTACTGACCTGGCTTTGCTCCCTCCCTGTGTTCCTCCCTGTAGTCCAGGCAGCATTCATTTATTAAATGATCAGTTGAAATATGGCAGATCATTTCTAGCTGTTGGATCAGCCACCCATTTGGGGGATGAACCTGTGACCGAGGAGGAAGGATGCTTTCTATAGTGGCAGGGACATAAGCCCTGTGCAAATGAATGTAGGTTCAAATGCCAGCACTGCCTTTCACTGGTGTCAAGCAAGTTACACAGTCCCTCAGAATCGGTTTTTCATCTGTAACAGGGAATAATCATGGAATTGCTTATATCAAACGACAGGTGAAACGTTTGTTGTTTCTGAAGGTGTAACAGTGGAGAGTAGAAGAGGTGACGATGCCCTTGCATGGACTGACTGCAGGCTTTGTGAAGACAGCTAACACTTCAGTACAGTATTCCCAGATGTACTGTCCCTGCACAACATACGGTTTCCATAATAGTAGCCTCTTATCATCAAATCCAGGGGGCAGCAACAGAAGTATAGCCCTGGAGTTGCAGTATCTGCCCCCTTGGGGTATTCAGGCTGTGAATGCTAAGAGCGGCTAGTGTAGGATAGCCTGGGACAGTGGCTCAGCTCTCAGTGTCTGGAGCTAGAACCCTGCTTTCAAGCCAACCAGCTCTGTGATCTTGAAAAGGCTCTTACTATGAGTACTTCGGTTTCCCAATTTGTAAACTGAGGCTAATAGCATGAACTTCCCTGGGTTGTTGGCAGTTGAGCAACCTTTAAGTGTGCAAAGTGCTTGGAACAGTCCCTGGCACTAACACAGCCCAGTGTTCACTCCATTCTGTTGCAGCGGGGATCGTCTTGTTGTTAGAGTTCAGTGCACTCTGGTTTTTTAAAATTGCATGGACTGCAGCCTTTCTAATGACAGCCAGTACTTCAGTGGAGGAAACTCTTGCTCTCAACGGCTCTTGGCCCTCTGCTTTCACAGGAGGTAGCTCTGCTCTTAGAAGCCCGCTCCGAGTCTTTCATCTCCTACAGTGGCCCCGCGTGTCCACTCAGGATGGCTTTTGTTATTAATGTGGAGCGGTTGAAGTCACTGACTTGGGTGCAGGCCAGGCAGCGTTACTGAGGTCATATATCACTTTCCTAGACTCTGGTCATGAGCAGGATGCTGGAAGTCAGAGGTACGGGGAAGCTGCCCCTTTAAGCAGCCCACATGAAAGGTGTGTTTGTTTTCTTCATCATGCTTATATGAATAGATCGCTCAGTAGCTTAGTGGTGTTTTTTTTTTTTTTTTTCTCTGTGATCTTCATGCTGAGCTGCTGTTCTGCTTACTCTCTGGTAGACAGACTAATGTTCCTTTTGTTGAGCATCTTTTCTCCATTGTTGTTTCATTGTTGAAAATCTTATTCTTTATTAAGAAAATATCTATTTAAGGCTGATGGGATTTCTCAATGGAACTAGGTTTCTGTAGGTGCTGTATAATATACTGAGGCGTCTGGGGATTTTTCTGTCTATGTTGCTCCCCCTTCTCTTTTTCTCTCCATAAATGAAATCACATGGTGGAGAAAGTACTCCTGTAAATACCAAGTTAGAGTGCATGTCCCCCCACCCCCACCCCAGCAGTGTAATTGAAGAACATACTCTTATTTTCTGCTCTGCTTTTGTATTTGGGGCGTGGGAAACTATGTTTTTGTTGTTTTGGAAAAAGCAATGGAATTTTATCAGGCGTTGCCCTGAAACTCCCTACCTTCTCTTTTTCCTGAAATATTTCTTTCAAAGTCCTGCGCTGCTCTGTGAACAGGTTCCATCATTTAGAAAGCACCAGAGCTTGGCCAGTTGAGCCCTGTTTGAATGATCTGCTGGCTCCATGAAAGAAGGTATTGTTTGTCAGGGGAAGATAGAGTCTGAGAAACGGCACTTGAGGATCATATGACCGTTAGTGTGAAGTGTGGGGCAGTGATTTGTCAGCTCACACGGTTAAGATTTTTTTTTCAATATCTGCAAATAAACATGTGGCCTCAGACCCAGTTTTGCCTTGTGGACGGGTAAGGGTGGGGACAAGATAACGTCCTCCAGATTTAAACTGTATTCTGACTTGACTTTCCTAATTTCTGTGGTTTTAAGTAACTCCCGTTGTGAAATAATAGCTGATTCTAGTGGATTTTATTTAGCTGCTGCAAAATTGGGACCTGCATGTACTTTTTGTTGATTTACCAGTTGTTTTCTGCTGTTTTCTCAATTTGAGAGCAGTAATTGTGAATCATAATTCCTAGAAGTATTCTTCTGCAATGCCATGCCACAGATGTTTGAGTGCTACACATTCTTCCCTCTCCATTTAAATGTTAGTTTACTGGAGTTAAAATGTGGATAATAGCTGTGTGTTGTAATGTGCTGGGCCCTCTCCCCAGAGACTCTTATTTCCATATGCTACAGTACCCTTCTGATCTTTTCGAAACATCCATCATCAAATCATTAAGACTTGGCAAGCTATTTAATGTGTGAGTCTCTGAGATTTCTATATATGATTTGGACATAGAATAGCTTGTCCTATTTCTGCATCCTCTTAAGAAACAAATCTAAAGGAGGGGGCTGTGCCTTTAGTGTCATGATATTCTTTACTCCTTGTTCTCTTAAAAATATGTACTGGGACTGTTCACAGTGGTGCATGGTAATCTCAGCCACTCAGGAAGCTGAGGCAGGAGGATTCCCAAGTTTGAAGCCAGTCTGGGCAACTTATCAAGACCCTGTCTCAAAATAAAAAATAAAAAAGTCAGTGGTGGTATAGGGCTTGCCAAGCATGTGCAAGGCCCTGGGCTGAATCTTCTGTATGACAAAATAAATAAATACTTATCCTGTTATGATATATTATAGAAAAAATTTTAAATTCTATAAGTATAAAGAAGAAAATGAAAATCTCTTGCTATTCTACCACTCAGAGAAAAAGCAGCTATTAAAATGTTGAGATGTTTACTTCCAGATTACTTTTCTATGCATATTTATATATTGTCATTCATTTTGTAAGAACTAGTATAAACTGTTTTGAAACCTGTTTTTTAAACATAAGATAATGTGTTCGCATTTTCCACATTCCAAAATATTCTTTGAAAATGTGATTTTTAAATAGCTGCCTAGTTTTGTATCCATCATGATTTTGCTTGGGAAAAAATTAAAGATATGCCATAAAGTTAGAAAGCCCATTTCAAGGTAGTCTCCCTTCCTAATTTGAAAAGTAATTGTTTAAAAGGATAATTGAGAACATGCAAATTTCATGCTTTACTCAACATAGACTAAAATGCTTTGCTATATTTCTGTAACAAATGAGTGTTTTCTTTTTATAATCCTTAGTATAGTAAAAATTAATTACAATAATTTTAATTGGTTATTATTCATAGCTGTTATTTGTGATGTTTTCAAAAAGTCGATTTTTATCTTGTTAAAAAAAATCAAGCTAATTTGAAACACCTTTTTTTCCTTAAAATTTGAAATAAGGTTAAATTTTTTTTCCAGCTAAATTTTGGGTTCATCCACCACGGCCAGCTGGTAGCATTGGCTCTGCTGTAATTTCAGGGTGAATTTGACTTCCTTGAGCCTCCAGGCTGTATAGGACAGGAGAGGCCATTTCAGTCAGGGTAATGGAGCCAGATGGTCCCAATGGAGGGTGCCAAGGCCCCAGCAGGGATGGATGCACATTCGACAGACGAGGGGCGATGGCAAATGTCAGTGGTCCACCCTTTCCTGGAGAGAGGAGCTCTGGCCTTCTGCTGGTGGATTTTGCCATTGCTCTTGCAGACTTGCTCAGTCTGGTGTAGTAAGTGTCCAGGCTGCTAGCTCCCAGTGAGTAGGGAGGCAGGAGGTGATGGCACTTGCTGGGGCCAGTTGGCAGCCACTGGGGCTGTCTGATGAAATCCACTTTTGGCATTCTCAGAGTCTTTCAAAGGAATCTGGGTAAGCCCTGTAACCTTGTGCCGTTGGTTCACTTGGCTTCTTAGAGGGGAGTAATAATTAAACTGAAGCCATAAGTCACTGGATCTTTGTGGATCTTAGTGGTTTTCAGTTGTGAAAATTGAAACCTAGAATCACAGAACCATCTCTAAATATCACCCTAGTTTCTGTGGTTTGTTCTTGACTTGAGGGCATTGATCTGGAGAAAAAGATTCTCCTAAGAGTCATATATCCTGAATTTACGTATCTGTGCAACATATTTAGGAACAGTACCACTTTAACCTCTCTGAATTTCATCTGAAAAAAGTGACCACAATAATAGTTGCTTTAAAGACAAGTGAGAGCTTGTGTTTTATGAGTGAGGCACAGAGTAAGCTCTTACTGGATATTAGTTACTGTAATAATGATAGATTTAGGCCAAGTCATCTGACCCCACTGTGTGGATTTGTGATTGATCATTGGGATTCTTTAGTCCTGGAACAAAGTTATTTTCCTTTCTGAATTAATTGCAGCCTTTGTACCCTGAACTAAACTTGAAAATGCAACTCTTTATTAAAAGATACCTGCGTTAGTCAGCTTTTCATCACTGTACACAGAATACCTGACAGGAACAACTAGAGAAGGGAAGGTTTATTTTGGCTCATGGTTTCAGAGGATTTAGTCCTTGGTCAGGTAGCTTCACTCCTTTGGACCTGAGTGAGGCAGAACATAATGGCAGAAGGGTGTGATGGAGGAAGGCACTCGGCTGATGACAGCCGGGAAGTAGAACTAGAGATAGAAAGGGCCAGGGATAAGAAATACCCTTCCAGATACACCCTCAGTGCCTACTTCCTCCAACCATTCCCCACTGCCTCCCTAGTCCACTCAGCTATCTGCAGTTTAATCCAATGGATTAGTCCACTGATCAGGTCATGGCCCAATCATTGCCTAAAATTTTGCCCCAACTCTTGCTGCTTTGGGGATTTCAACATACGGGGCACATTTGGGTGGGGAGGTGTCTTTCAGATCCAAACCATATCAACTCCCAAAGCACAATAACTTAAACAAATAAAAAGGTTTTGGTTCTGTTCATCTTTCTTTCTCTATCAGGACCATCCATTTGACCCATACTGGTCCATAACTAGGATGGTACCTTAATAGATGAATTCCTTCCTGTTGTTTCTCTGCCAGCCTGAGAGTGCTGGCCCCATCTTCAGTCAGAGATGGCTCATCACAAAATCATTTCAACTGTCACATGACCCAGCTTGCTGCAAGGGAGGCTGGGAAATGTGCACTTGAGCACACCAGACATCCTGCTGCTAAAGCTTCCTTGTAGAATAGAAAATGAGGAAACATTCAGTGTACTGAACGCTAGAGCAGCCTGCCACCTGTATTTGTAATAAAGTGGGATTGGAACACCGCCGTGCCTGTTGGTTTACAAATTGTCTATGTCTACCTTCATGTCTCAGTGGAAGAATTGAGTTGCCACGGAGGCCATATGGCCTGGAAAGCCTACAGTATTTACTATCTGGCCCTTAGCAGAAGTTTGCTGACGTCTGCTTTAGAAAATAGGGAAATGAATATGAGGGGAGTAATTCATAGTTTGTACCACAGTTTACTACATGGTATGCGCATGAGTCACTGCTGTGGAGATGGCAGAGTTAGGACTTTGTACTTATGAATACTCGTGGTCCATGGGGGGTGGTGAATTGGTATGCAGGTGGTTGTTGGAAAAGGAGCCAGACATGAGGTAATCTGGTGGAACTGAAGGGGGAAGGTGCAAAAGCTTGCCTTAGTTTCCATCTTTAGAGGTCATACCCTAAGGGCTTTCTCCTCTTCCTGCAGCCCTTGGCACCATCCTGCATTTGATTCTTGCTTGGGTCCCACTGCCACTCGTGTAGGTCAGACCCTTCCCACCCATTGCTCTTACTGGTCTCCCTGCCTGGAGTCTCGGCCTCCTCCAAAGTCCCTCTGGAAGCGTGACTCTTTGTTTTTTCCCTCATAAAGACTTTCCAGTGAGTCCCCATTGCCTCCTCATTAGAGGCTAAGCATGGTTTGTCATTGAAGGTCCCCCGGCTCCTTGGCCCTAGTCTTCACTTCCGATCCTGTTTCCTCTCACAATCTCACAGGCACTCTGGACTCCCGCCTCGTGGAAGCACCCTGTGCCCACTCTGCACTGTGCCATCTGCACATATTCTTCCTGTTGTCTCCTCTGTGTCACCTGCCCAGAGGCTTCGGCACATGGTAGGCACATTCCTGGCTGGGGCTGAGGAGGACATTGGCACTTGTAGGAGGATGTGGGAGGTCCATCCCCTCTCTAGCTGTGCCCCTTCTTCCACGCTAAGGCCGAACACTCCCTCCTAGAATGTTCTTCATGCTTTCTTGATGTCCTCTCACGTCCTTGCTACTTCCTGTGTTGGATTCCCTGTCCATCTCTAATTTTGCTGAACCTGGACCTGAGGTCAGGTCCAGATCTGCTGGAGCTGCACGTTCTTCACTTTCTTCTAGTAAGTGCCTGGTGCCTGTCATGGGTCAGTGTTATAGTGATGCCGTCTACAACCAGGGCCATCTACAAATTGGTGCTTTTTCCTAAAAATGTCCCTTACCACCTGAAGAATGTAAGTGAAAAATGAAAATAGAGCTATAATGATAGTTTGAAAATGAGCATTGGTTAAGATCTTTAAAACCATGAGTGGTCTTTCACTTGTTTTGAACAGAAGAAAACTACATTCTTAAAACTCTTCCAAAGTATTTGATGCATTCTTACTGAGAAGTTTTAGACAGTTCCTTGAAAAGCCACGGCTGAACCAGAAATCAGACTGAGCTTTTGCTAGGTATAAGGAGGAGCTTGAGTGTCCCAGGGGGGCTGTCTGCAGCAAAGCCACCCAGTCCATTCAGTAGAGCAGGCTTGGAACATTTTCTACCCCACTCCCCAGGCTGCCAGAGAGGTACCTGACCTCACAAGGTCTACTTACATCATAGCCACAGAGGGTAGTATTTTCATAGCTTCATCTTTCCACAGTTGTCAATCGAGAGTTAGAAGAGCTTTTATTTTGATAGAAATAATTTACCCTACAGGGTGCCAACCCTTTTTCTTTCCCTGTCTTTTTAACCAAGCATAGAATGAGGAGGCCCATAGAAATAATGAAATGCTTGCTTATGCTGGCTAAGAACTCACGTTGTTCACTCATCTAGTATTTAAACCTAGTGGGGTTGAAGACAGTGTTGGGGAACAAATGGATAAGCATAAATTTTAAATATCTACTGAGACCTGCTCGTGGGGTGGGTAGGAAAGATGCCACCTCGGCCAGGTGGTGGGGCTTCCCCTGTGCGTTCAAGAAGGATGCACAAAGCATTCCAGAATGTCCCCTCTAACAGAGAGATGTCAATCAGGTAAGGAGGGAAAGCAATGATTTATTCTGGAGTTTTTCTAAGTTTAAGTTAGGAGAAAAACCATTATGGTTGTATGGGAGTGTCTGCTTTGTCTTTTCTTCTCTTTTACTTGCTATATTCAGTGTCAGGCAGAGTACTCAGCAAAGTGTGTGTTCTGTATATATTTGTCGAATGAATAAATAAGAGGATTCTGGCACATAATTGTAAGAACTTTCTGGAAGATGAAAGGATTCTTTGGCAAAATGATTTCTTTATGCTGTAAAGACAAAAGACGCTTATCTTCCAGCCGGCCTCCTCCTTTACGCCCTGCCAACCCCCTCCAGTTCATACCTCTCTGGCTGGCGTATCTCCAGGTTGTAGAAGTTTAGGAGGAGTGAAGGTGTGTGGCCTCCTATTTCTGAAAGGAAAACCCCAGTGTTGTGTAACAGTGTTTCAAGGGCCCTTTCATAATAAACACAATACTAAACACAGCCAGAACAAGTTTATTTTGCATTAATAATCCAACATTTTACAGTGCTGAATTGAGGTGCAGAACTAGGCCTTGCTGGCGACACAGTGAAATATGAAAAATAGAGTAGAAAGTTTCATCCAGAAAGCTGTTTCTTCTTGGCCAGCCATCTGATTTCTTCAAAGTTTTGGAATTTTGTACAAGTTTAGATCTTTAGCTAGCAGTAGATTAAAGGATGTTTGTGCACAAACCAAATATAATTTATGTTTCTTGATTTCGAGCTCATGTTTCTGTTCCAGGTATATAAAAGATACCACATAAGAAAAATCTCAATTACAGTGGGATAATGCGTTTGGTTAGTAGGTTTCCTTTTATGAAGCATGGTAGTTTAGTGGTTAGTTTTTGAACTTGCACCATTCAGACCTGCCATTCAATGATGTACCATCCTTTGTGTTTGTCCTTGGGATAAAATGACTCAGACCACTAAGTGGATGATTTTTCACCTGGAAACTGGTAGTAACTAGTTTCCTCTGAGACTCAGTAGTGAAATAATTCATGTAAAGCACCCAGAACAGTCATACATGTAGTAAGTGTAGATATCAGATGTGATAAAGCCCGTGCTGCTGGAACAAAAATGCAGTGAGTCAAAGGAAATATTGCTGAGTGTTGTGCTCCTGTGACTAGGTGAGCATGCCCGGATTGCAGAACTGTCTCGGTCCCTTCAGAGGTTCAGGGACCTGGGTTCCTTCCACGTTGTTGCTCCACCTACCTGCATCTTAGAGCCCATCTCCGTCACAGATAGGCCATGGGCATTCCAGTCCTGGCCCAGAGGAGGGGAAAGAGCTCAGAGGCATGCGCATGCCCAGTGTGTTCAGACCAGCACCTAAAAGGCACACATCCCTGCCACTCACTTTCCATTGATGAGAACTAAGTCCCATGGCCACCTCCAGCTGCCAGAGGCTAAGACGTGGCATTTCTAGCTGGATGGCTGATTACCGCTCATTCACTGTGGAAGAATGGAAGAACGGACTTGAGTGAGTAGTTAATGCTGTGTGCCAAGGTGCTTAATAAATGTAACCATTATTTATATATTAAAAATAATATTTCAAATAAAGCTCTAACTATCCTTGTTCTAGGGCAAGATAAATTAATGAACTATTACAGCACAGAGTTTGTGTTTCCCATAAGGTGGCAGGGTTTTTTGGTGTTTTTTTTTTTTTTTTTTTGGCAGGGGGTTCTTTAAGTATTGAACCTCAAATCCAGGTAAACTTCAAGGGAGAAAAGAGAGTTCAAATAGAAAGGAGTGGAAGGGTGGGAATGTGGGAGAGGAGAGAAGGCTGATTGACCACTCTGGCTGATAAAAAGGTCTGTACTGTGTGTTCATACACTGCTGGCTCCACTCTCCAACTATCCATAAAATACGTAACAGGTTATTGTGAACCATGATCATCCTGCTGTGCTGCAGAACTCTAGAACTTACTGTTTCTCACTGTGTTTGGGTACCGATTATGTAGCCTCCTACTCTCCCCTCCCCAGCCTCTGGTGATGGACTTTTCTCTTTTTTAACATCCTCCTGTAAGAGACAACATGTGGTTTTTGTCTTCCTGTGTTTGACTTATTTCACTTAGTATAATATCTTCCAGTTCCATCCATCTGGCTACAAATGATAGAACATCATTCTTTTTTATAACCGAATACTATTCCATTATGTATATCTACCACATTTTCTTTCTCTATTCCTGTGTTGATTGGCCTCTAGGTTGATTCCATATTCTTAGCTATTCTAAATAGTGCAGCCATGAACCAAATAATAACAAGGAGATGGAACCATTGATCACCCTGATTTAATCAGTACATATTATTTTTATATATGCATATGTATATATGCACTGCAGTGTATCTCAGAAAAATATGTACAATAGAAGTAATAAAAAGTAAATATAGCATTAAAAAAAAAGAAAGAATGAAAGAGACCTGGGCTGTAAATTAAACTTAACCCCTTATCAGACCTGGCAAGGACAAAGTACACTGGCTTCTAAAGAAACTTTCTGGGAGCAGCAGTTTTTTTAGAGCACAAAAGAGAAGGCAGAAGGCAAGAGAATCGCACAAGGGGAAACGTGCACCTCCAGTTTTCTCTTTGAAAGATCAGCTTTGTTCTATGAAAAGAAAAAAAAAAATCACATATATACTCGTCAAGATTATCTCTGACTTGTCACTATTGCCCAAGAGAAAACACAGGTGAGATACACCAGTTTCTGCATTTAGAAGAAAGTACTTGAGGTAAAAATTAACTATTAAGTAAGCAACTTTTTTTTTTCAGCAGAAGAAGTGCACGAATTCTTAAGCCTAGTTGTGAGTAAAGAGCCAGGGTTACTGCAAATATTATTAAATGCTTATAAATGCTCACGGGCTTTTTTCTTGGACACTTAGCAATTGCTAAAAACAATTAGAAGGCCTAAGATGATGTCTTGGCTTGATTGCCTGGGATTTTTTTTTTTAAATCTGCAATTTTAGGCTTGCCAGGTAATATACACAGGAGCTTTCTTATCAGAGTAATGTTCCTGTGTTTGATAACAAGGTGATCTTTAAGAGAAGGCATCTGCCTTTGATTTTATAAGCAGCCTGTGGCCTAACTGCTGAAAACAGCTGCAGTTATTTTAAACAGATGGTTCCAAGTTAATAGGGAAGAAAGTAAAAGTGAGTTACCTTCTCAATTTTTAACCGCCCCCCCCCCACCCCTGCCAAAAACAATGAACGGAATACACTTTGGACCAAATTTTATCTAAATGCTTATTTATAAGGAGCAACTTCTGAGAAACTGGGATTTGTAGATTGATCTGTTATCTGAAGATTTGGTATCTTTAGAGAGTGGTAAATGGTGGTGACGTTGTTACTGTCACTAGTTTGGTCTGTGCCAGATCACCAAGAAGAAAGAATGCAGGATGATGGTATTTGTATTCTTATGATCTCTAGACTCTGCAGGTGTCTTGACTAGTAGTTAATATGCTACTTTTCTTTCGTTTCCGGCATTGAAGATAATGAGTATTTTGATACTGCAACAATGAATTCATGCTTAGAAAGGATTTTGAAAAGAAAGGTATTTCTTCAGTTCACAGATGCTGGTACCCATGTGAATAGGGTACAAAAATAGTGGTTGAGTCCAACAGATAAAGATGATGAGTATCCTGAGTTTTTAAATTGTGAAATACAAGGTTGTTGAAGATTTTTTTAAAATTGCTTCTCATCAGTGGTAACTTCACCTGGTTCTTTTATGTCATCTGTGTACCCTTGTGTCTGCAAACCACTCTGATTCTTTGTTTGACCTACACTGTTTCAGGGTCTCACCACAAATGATATTCCTTAGGTTTTCATGGGCTATGGATGTAAGCTACTTGTTTTTGCCTGTTTGAATGAAAAGGAGTAGACTAACTCAAACAAAATAATCAAATTATAGACTAACCATTGGCCAGCTGTGGCCTTTAGGGATGATTTTGTCTAAGAAGGTTCCTCACTTTTTTTTTTTTTTTAAAGGTCGTAAAGGAAAAGAAGGTGAAGAAAAATATGAGCAGACCATGTGTAAGCCTACAAGGCCTAAAACATGAACCATCCAGCCCTTTACAAAAAATTCTGCTGCCTGCTGTCATGGATAAGGACCATGATTAAGGGCATTGCTTTGGGGCCAGATGCTGGCTTGTCCATTTCCAGGATGTCTTGGGTAAATTACTCAATCTCTCTGACTGGTTTTCTCATCTCTAAATGGGAATAATTACAGCCTACCTTGTGGGGTTGTGGTGAGGATTAGGTTAACATAAAGTGTTTAGAACAATGTCTGGTATACTTAATGAGTACTCAATAAATGTTAGTAATTGTTATTATTATGGTGGAAAGAAGTCTTGAAAGAGCATCTAAACTAGTTCTTGCTTTCAAAAGGTGAATATCCACATGATCATCGATCATTTTCTCATTTCTGCAATCAAGAATGGAGGGCCATTTTCTTTTTAATGGTGCCTGCTTTATGGAAAAAAGTTAAGATGGACCCATGCTAAAATGTAAAAACAAACAAACAAAATTCTTGAAAACATAAAAAGAAATACTACCATAGCTACTTTTTAATTTAAAAGGATAGTCAAAGCTCATTCATTAAATGGAACTTTTTTTAAAAAAAAAAAGCAAACAAAAACACTTTGATGTACTTGTAGGTCAAGCATAAGAAGAAATGAAGTAGACAGAAGAGATAAGAGATGGAGAAGAGAAGATAGCGTTAGAGCAGGAAGCAGGAGTAAGGATAAGGAAGGAAGCCGTTAGGTGGGGAGGAAGGCTGAAGGTTTCTCGGGTATCCAGTGTGGATACCTGCTCTTCCTTCAAGACTCCACCTCAGTTATTCTGTGTCCAGTTTAATTGCTCCCATTTGCAGGAATGTGTGAGTCCTTCTGTTTGATCACTTTCCATTGCAGAAATAAATTTTTAGCACCAAGTATGTTTACTGAACATACATTATATATGTATATCTATCACATGTGTATATAAAATCATAATATTTTGTGTATTTATTTCTAAAGACAAGCAATTCTGTTCCCTTTAGACACTTGCCTTAATCACCATCATTGTCGTCATCATCATCGAACATTAGATGAGCTTTGAGATAATGTTTCTTTATCTTCTCTGATTCTTCTGCTTGCTCCACGTACCATTTCAAGTAGAGAGAAAACACACTTGGTGACTTTAAAATCAGGAAACGCTTTAAAAAACAAAACAAAAATAAATTAATGATGGGTGGTGTATTCTCTTCTCCTTATTTTTCACTGTTTGTGTATCCTCTTGATGGATATTGGACCAGAGTGATGGGTGTTCAAGGATGGGTATTTGATGATGTCAGGGGACTGAAGTAATGGCCTTGCGTGGAGATTACACAGTGAAGCCCCACATTGATTACCTCATCTTATTACTGATGGAGACATTCGGGAGGACAAGATTGCAGAGCTTTTAAGCCTGTGTGGCTCCCAGGATCTGATGCTAAGAGCACACTAATTGTGATCGCCCAGAGGGACTGTGGGAAGGATAGTGGTGGCTTGGTGTTGCACGACCCGATTGCTTAGGTAAGGCAGGACTTTCTGATAAGCTTGAATTTTCCTTCCTAGCCATTACAAAATGGCTCTCTCTTTACTGTTTTCCTCTTCCTCAAATTGGGTTCAGTTTGCTGAGGTAGGCAAATTTTTATTCCTTGAACTACTGTCCCTCCAGCAGCTAGAATGATGAGTCACACATATGGTAGCTTGATAAATATTTTTGGATGAGTGAATGAATGCATAGATTCAACATAGCTAATCATCATTCCTAAGAGAATATGGTCCTCAGATCCATGTATGGATGTGATTTTGTGAGTTTATGCTAAAAGAGTATTTTAAATTTTTTGAATGCTTTCTATATACATAAAAGACAAATTGAATGTGAGACCCATGGTTCTTGGATTCATATTTTTGTCACCTTAATGAACAATGAGATTGTTAGATGCAAGTAACCCAGGCAGTTAAAGCAAAGTGTTTGAGCGCTTTCAAAGCACCATTACTTCCTTTATTCTAAGAGATTAATACAATAACTACTAATTTCTGAAACGGTGTTCTTTCAAATAAAAGCAAATTATAAAACACTATTATTTACCACTACGCTCTACTCCTTTTTTTTTTTTTTTTTAAAGCGTGCCTTCTTATACCCTTTCTTAGGACTTGGATGTTACAGAATGAGAGAGGAATACTACTAATGAGGGGGGATGGTGTGCTGGGATTGGTGGGCCCATCCAGGAGAACAGGGTAGGAAACGGCAGGAGGAGAGCCCCTTCCAGGCTTGTGAGCACCCTTTCCTGGGTGTGGAAGGGGATGGGGGCTAGATTCCAGCAGACTGGACCCAGGAGAGGAAGGGATTGATACCATAGGAAGTGATGGGAGGTTGGGGAGAAGGGGCAGATCTGATAAAGGCAATGGGGAAGTTGAAGAAAGAAGCCTCCATTATAACTTTACCATTTAATGGAGCGATCTCCTTTGAGTGGCATGGAGGGAGTGAACTGACACTGGACAAAGTTGAGAAGCCACTGTAACCCTGGCCCTTACTTGGGACTGGAGGGGGAGACACACCCCTGGTCATGGTAGTGTAAATGCTGTTTATTGATTTTAAAGTCTTCCCTCAACCTTTGAAATGGAAAAAAAAAAAGCACAGGAAATCGAGCTGGTTACAGGACAGAAAGTAAATGTTGTCCACTTTGACAATGTGAAAGTATAGGTACATACGCAGATGAACTCAGGCAGCCTGAGGGCATGAGGGAAGATGGAGAGGATGAAATTCCAAGGAAGGAAGAAGATGAGCTCTAAGATTCATGCAGTAATCAGTGGCTTAAGTGTGTGGTTAGAACCCCCTTGGCTGAGGACTCTTGGAACTGGTGGTATTGCTACATTGAAAGGGAGAGGATAAGTTCTCAAGATAGGGCTTTTATAATGTCCAAAAGTGATAGATCGTAGATGAATATACCATTTGGAAATAGGAGGTGTCCTTTTCTAGAGTACTTAGGATAGACTGAATCCAGCCCAGATGACAGACTTTAATGAAGGAACTATGATGCTGTGAGCTGGGGGTAGCTGAGTCTTGTTACCTTTATCCTCAGAGGTTAATGTAATACGACTAATGGAGCTGAGTGACAGAAAGAAATAATAACTGCCAGTTGAAAAAACTATACACAAGTCCATTGAGTGGGGGAATGATGGAAGAGCGGCCACCTGGGGGACGCTGTGGTCACAGATGCAGCAGCCACTGCTGTAAAGGGGGATCCGTCCACCACCCTCCTCACACAAAGGGCCGGGTTGGGAACAGGTAGGGTAAGGTGGAATGGGGAGGAGGTCAGCCAAGGATGACCAGCAGGGATGTGGGTGATCACCAAAAGAAACCCAAACCAGGGCAGGCTTCTCTTAGAGTAGAACTGGGGTGGAGATGCCAGGGATGGGGGTTACTGCGTTTCCTGATAAGCATTTCTGGGAACTGATGTTTTAACCTCCTCTAGGGCATGAATTTGATAGAATGGATTAAGGTAAATATTTGCATTGAATGCCTAGTATTTCATCTAAAGTGTTACATGGGAACTGAATGGACAGTACTGAGAGTCCCTGCCCTCAAGTTGCTTGTAGTCTGTTTGGGAAAATAAAATGCTAAAACGAAACCAGCAGAAAGCACAATAAGTATGATTATAGGTTGTGATTGTGATTGACACTATAAGTTTCATAGCATACACCAAAAATTAATACTGTGTATAAACTGAATTCTGCTAATTTTTATGGTATAATTAGTTGTTTGGGAGTGGGAACAATTCTTTCTTGAGCCGCACAGTTTGCTGTATTTAACTGTGAATACACTGCTTACTGCAAATCAGATAGGCAGATGGAACAGCTGCCCCTTCATTGTTTGGTTCTTGGTTACTCATTTTAATGAATAATTTGAACAGACTCCAAAACATTAAATTAAATGTATAAGCATGCTTTAAGAATTATATCATAATGTTGGTATATTTAAAACAGTGGTGATATCATTGTCTAAATATAGTAAGTTTGAAGAAATTGAATTATTTGAGCTGTTTTATCCTCTATAAATAATTTGGCAGTAAAACAGACAAGGGATAAAGATTAACCCAGAGGTCTGTATCCAAGTATAGAGAGCTGGGAAAATTCCCCCACCTCCTTCCTCCTGACACATGAACCGTGGTAACTGGAGTAAATCCTTTGGGAGTCCTTGGTTAAAATTTGCTTTTCTTGTAGAGATGTGAGCAGTGACGGAGACTTGAGAAACGCATTACAAATACAGGAGTTTTCCTCTGTCTTCTTTCAGGTTTACTTTTGCTGAAGGGTTTGTTCAAAGGGAAAAGGTAAATGTACAACAGAAGATGGGTTTCAGCTGTCTTTGCTCTTGCCCACCTTTCATAGAATTCCTAATGGTCTTCAGAAGGATTCAGGTTTTGTCTTCTTATAGCCTGGGCATTTACTTATTAAAATAAACCCTGATTTTTGCCAACTCTTGTTTCCTCTGTGAAAAAGCAGGTGAGGGTTTCTTAAGCCCATACTACATACATGTAAAGTGTAGTCATAAATTCCTGGAAGCTGATCGTTTTTAGAGCTCACCAAAATTATTATTTTGTTGCACTGCAACAAGGGGTGTTAAAATGGTAATTAAATAAGGGCAGTTAATTTTAGTGACTTTATTCATTCCAGGTATTATGTGTATGGATTGTCTCATGTAATTCTGCGGTTCTAAGAAACAGAATTCCTACTAATGCAAGAGTTTTATGTGTTCTTAAACATGAGCGGAAACCCAGAATTACCTCTAGAGACTATTTTCTTTATTATAATCTTGAGTAATTATGCATTCTGGTTGCTTTAGGAATTAAGAAGCAGAGCCACTGAATGAATTCAATAAGGCCAGAAACTGTGTTCAGTACTTGTGTCTCCCCTTCAGGGACCATTTTCTGATGTTTTGATTAGGTGTGTGTGCCATTTGTATAAACCTGGCTGACAGACAGTCTTGCAAATGTATCACTAGTCACAGGGGGCGGAGTCCCCTGATGGGTTGTTTACCTAAGTCAGTAGTAGTGCCTTACAAGAACTGTGAAGGTGGATGGGAAACTCTAGTATAAAATGAGCCCCCAGTGTAGAGGTGAGTCTGGCTGATGTGATGATGAGATCA